TAATCTCTTCCCGGGTGGGGAAATGTTGGGCTACTCATTTTTCTCCCCCATCCCCGGGGAAAAGGTCCTGAACCAATTAATGGCTAATAATTATCCAGGGGTGAAAGCAACGGAAGAGGGCGGGAGTGTGTGGAAATGACGGGGGGGGGGGCTTTGGGAGGAAGGGCCGCCCTAAGTTGGTGGGACCGCCCCGGAATGGAATCCCTCTGTCGCCGGCAGGTGTTAATCCGAATTAAAAAAAAACAGATGCCTGCTCCTTGTTTTAATAACTTGGCTCTTGTGGAGGGGACGGCTCTCTTGGGGCTTGGGACTCAGACATTTTTTCTGCCTTTCGTTCCTTTTTTTCTTTCTTTTTTCCTTCCCTCCTGCTCTTTTCCATTTCCTTTCTTTCAATTCTCTTTTTCTTTCCCTATCTTTTCTTTCGCTTTCCCCTTCCTTCCTTTGATTAAGCATTGAACTTTTCTTCAGAGTTGACTCTACCTTTTAGATCCACCGATCGCTTCCTCCAGAGTAGATCCTCTCGGGCGGTGGTGACCCCCTTTGGATCCGGGGTATTTTTTTATGCAAGAATCATTCTGCGACCCGGGGCGGTGTGTGCGCGCGCCTCTATCCCCCCCCCTTCGGGTCTCTTCCTCCCCCCGCTTTAAACATTTCCCACGTGTTTAAATTCCCTGTCCCGCCTGGGTTCAATAGCTGCGGGTTACTACAATATTTATTAGATTAATTACAAGCAAGCGCGGATATTTCAGCCCTTGGTTTACAAGGAAGCCAGGCTGGTGCCGAGCAACGCTTACTTCTAAGTAAACCATCAAAACCGCTCGGCTATCGGTGTTTGAATTATTCTCATCAATATTAATTAATAATAATCTTAATTCAAATAGAAGGCGGCGATGCCTTGGTTTAATATATTTAAATTAAAATGCCGGGTTTGAAGCAGCGACGCTTTTCCAGCACCGTGCCTTCCCGTTTCCCTCTCCTTTCAACTCTGGATAATCATCTGCTCCGCCATCAGGGGGGAAAAAAAACCCCAAGACAAGCGAAAGAGGCATATATTAGTTATAGCTGTTTCTCTGCCGCCTGGAATACTGTGAAAGGCTGTCATAATATTGCTCGTGGCTGCTTATGTAGCGACCGCGGATGAGCCAAAAATAGTAATTAAGGAAAAGTGCAATTAGGTAACCCGGGCCTGTGGCATCTGCGCCTGGAAGGAAAGAAAGGAGGGGAAACATATAGGGCGGGAAGGGGTGCGTGTGTGAATTTTTGTAGCTGGGGGCAACTGGTTTCAGCACAGGGGATAGGCGTTTAATATGGGTACATTATTGCTATTATGATGATTGCCTTTTAAATTACTCTCTTGGGAATGAACCCGGGGAGAAAGATTTCCCAATCCGGCCTTTAAAACGCCCCATAATGGAAAGCGACGGGGCTTGGAAACTTCCTCGGCCGGTTTGAAACGGAGTCAGACCTGATCCCTGCCCCGCGTCGGGCCCTTCCCGACCCTCGAAGCGACTCTCCAGCTGGGCCTCCGGTCTCCGGCCCGCGATTCCAGTTCAGGTTGGCGTCCAAGCCGAGCGGCCTTCGTGGGCGAAGCTCCTGCGCTGCGCCTTTCCCACCAAAATTTAACATCACTCCAATTTCTCCTGTTTTTCCTGCTGGCGGGGCGGGAGGGGGGAATAGCTGTTTGAGCAGCAAAACTACAGAGACGGACTTACCGGGCTGTTTATTTGCGTTGAACCGAGTCTCCAGATTCTCTTTGAAAACGGGGGTTTGTTCCGTGCATCTGGAGTTAACTCTCTCTCCCCACAACTCCCACCCCATGATCAGATTTATAACGCCCCCCCCCCAAAAAAACTTTCACCGTCCTTTCCTTGCATATGGGAAAATGCGGAGATCCCAAAAGTGCTATTAATGATGAATAATTGGCATTCTTATGAAAAATAATTAAGAATTATGCTGATGAATGAGGATGTTGCGGCATCAACTTGTTACCACTCTCAACCGTCGGCTTTCGGTTTCAAACACCAGTTTGCAACTTATTGGGTGGATTAAGGCGGCTCTTTTTAAATGGTTAAAAAAAAAAAGGGCTCTTTTCTCCCCAGCTCCTAAATAAGGTTCATTCTGCCCCAAAGGGAGATCGACCATTCCGGGGGTCGCCCCTCTGCGGCGTCTTTTCCCTCCTTTTTAACGCTTGTCCGGGAAGGAGGGGCCCGATCCGCGGCTTAGGAGCACGCCTCCCACTTTGCTTTCGTTTTAAACGCTTCAGAAGAGCCGCAAAGGCCCTTTACTCGCGAGTAGGTTTGGGGAATTCCGGGGGAGCTTCCAGGTCCAGACCCCAAAGGAGACGTCGCGGGCTTCCGTTGAAGGGAGACCCACTGCCAGGGCTTGAGGCTTGCAGCCTGAAAGAGTGAATTAAAAAGCAATCAAAAAACACGCTGGTCGGATTGTTCCCACGTTCAGAGTTGGTGGGCGATTGAAACAAGTACACGGGGCGTACCGGCTGAAGCTCCTGGTTGGACTGAAATCTAGCATGTCTCTGCCACGACCTCCTCTTCTTCTTCTCCTCCTCCTCCTCCTCCATCTCCGCATTATTATTATTTTTTCTGAATCAGGCACGAGTCCGTTCGCGGGGACTCGTGCAGGCGATAGAAAGCCGGAGTTGGGGTTGGGGTTCTTCTTTAAATGGTGGCTCGCCCCGAGGGAGCTAAGCCGAAATCCCACTAGAAAAGTTCGTTCTTTGCTAAAGCGCCCCTCCCTTCCTCCCCCCATCCCCCAAGAAAAACAGCTAACCTAGTTTTACTTTCCCTCAACCGGAGCTGGACTTCTAATATCTACCTATTTAGCTCTGTTTAACCTTCCTTCCCTCCTTCCCGCCATTGATCCTATGCATCTATCCATCCATTCTTCTATCTTCAACCGTTCCATCCATCCACGGAATCGTCCTTTCTTCCATCTGTCTGCCCCTCACTAATTTTTTTTCCCCCTCTCTCTCTTCTCCAGCGTCTTCCCTGTTTTACAAAACTGAAATTTCCCAGGAAAAAGAATTTCGGGGGAGGGGGACGGCCTCACATTCCTCTTCCAGTTTATTAAGCAATCATCATCATCATCATCATTAGCGCGATGTCTTCTCGTTGGATGTGCTGGAAGGCAGTGGCTGGCTTACAGTCCACTTCGCTTTTGCGCGATCAGCTCCTCCAGGGCAACGAGAAGAGGAAACGAGCTTCTGTGTCGGGGGCATTGGCAGGAGGCCTCCTGATCGAGCCATCCCCGCCCCCCCATATGCCTAAAACTGTTTTAAGACGAAGATGTTGGATTCCGCCGCTCTAGACGCCCGTCTCGCCTCCCTCTCCCGCTTCAGTGAAACTTTATCCCCGGCGATAGCGCGCGGGAACGCTGCTTTGCAAACTCTCCCGTGCGCCTTCCCGAACTAAGCGCCAGATCCCGTCCTCCCGACGCAAACGAAACCCAGGGACCGCGCTTCTTAATCGGGGGCTCTGGCTGCCCAAGGAGGGCCTCGCCTAGCGCTGAACGACGCGCCGCCCGCCTGCCTTCCTTTCGCCGCCGCCTGCGTTAAGCCAGTTTGGAAGGGCGCGCGGTGCGCCCTGCGCCTTGGAGAGCGCGCCCAGCCGCCGGGTGCGGGCGAGGCCCAGTCTGAAAGCAGCGGGCAGACAGTGAAGGGCGTCCGTTTTTTCAGCTGCAAAGGGTTTGTTCCTTTAAAATAAAAGGGGTGGGGGGTGTTCGAACTAACCCCAGTGCAGCCAGCCGTTACGTTTACTCGGGAGGAAGACCCTCTCTAGCCAAGGTGCCTGGTGCCCTCAGGGTAGGACCTGGCAGGAGGACCCCCGCCCCTCCATTAGCAGACTGGGAGGGCTCCAAATCCAGCAGGGCAGTAAACATCTTATCTATCCCTCCAAGAATCCCCCCCAATTTAAAATTGCTCAGTAGTTTCACTGTTGGGATAGCGGGCATCCAGTGGACTAGATCCATGATGGGTTTTGCTTGGATCTGGACCTGACAGACAGAGTTGAGGGCTTAAAAAGTCGAGCGTCCCCTTAATGCGACGCTTCCCAACCCCCGGGGCAAATTGGTATTAGTTACTTTTTTTTTTCTTTGCACAAAAGGATATTGATTAGTAAGGGCAGACAGAGAAAACAGTCGCTCTGAGCTTTCTATTTCTGAAAGAGGTCAGTTATGATTTTTTCAGGTTTTCGGTCCAGCCTCATCCTGCACACCTTTGCGAGAGATCTGTTACTGGCTTACCTTAAACACACACACAAATAGCTAAAATTCCCTCCCCCCCCCCCCAACATTTCCTGAGAATCTGTAAATAAAACATG